CCGGGGGGTACAATTGCCCAAAGAATGGATGCTCCTGTGTTCTTTGATCTCCTGAAAAGCTACCTGCCTTTAGGAAAAACTTAGGCTTGCAAATGATGGAACTCGAGCCTTGCCCAGGATTCATCTTCATCACCTTTTGTACCACCAGCCCCTCCCTCTTAGATTGTAAGCTCCAAGGAGCAGGACCCTCCTTACCCTCTTGTATTGAACTGTATTGTTGCTGTATTGTCTCCCTTTATAAAGCACTGAGCAAACTGTTGGCCCTATATAAAATCCTGTATAATAATAATCTGCACCCACTTTCACAAATATACCCAATTGAGACCCTTAGAAACAGACTCACAACCCAAGATATGGCTCTACTTGCTGCATCACCAACTTGATGACCAAAACCTTGCACTCACTACGATGGCAAACTCATTTTGTTTGCTTCCCAAAGTTTTCCTGGCTGCACAAAGAGAAACCAGCCATATGACTGCCATGTAGCATGGACCAAGTAGGTGTGACTTGTGATATTCCAGGCTATTTTCCCTTGCTGCTGGGACCAGATTGGTCTTTCACTGTACCCACAAGTATGGCCAGAGTCCACTGTTGAAGGATAGTTGAGTGGGGACATATAACTTCCATATTAAACCAAAAGGGACCTAGGCATGGAGAGTGAACCTGTCAAGAGAGATGTAAAACACCAAGAATGATCAGTCTCAAAAGCACTATGTACCCCACCCAAAATTTATTTTGGGGAAAGAGAGAAATAGGGATGGTCTTTAAGTGTGCCACTTCAGGCATCTTCACACATCCTAATATTTCTTGTGGACCTGTTGATCACACTAGGAACTTCGTCTCTATACACTCCCATTTCTTAAGAGACACAGCTAAGCATACTAGCTAAAACCTTGGCTGAGCTGGGAGAGGATTTCTCTTTTGGATGGTGTCAGCATAACCCAACAAGCCATGTACAGCCAAAGTCCTGTGATGTATGATGAAGATATAGGAATTTCTCATAAATTTCCTACATCATCACATAAGTTGTCAGCATCAGAGAAATTACTACTTCAACAGGTTTTAGACGGTTATATTGTTAACAAAAACATGTTTACCAGAAGTGGCAAAAAAAAAAAAAATTAAATACATCTTACAGATCAAACAAGATAAAAGAAAAGGTAAAACAGAAAAGATGTATAAAAGCATTTTAAAATGGGTGTAAAGTAAAACCATAGGTATACACCAGCCCCTTTACAATATCAATGTTGTTGATATTATGATGTGACAGATGATGGGCTAAACCAAGTTTACTGAATTACCCACACAGGGTGACACAGCAAGCACTTTTCCCCAGCGACCGTGTAAAACCTAATGCGACAGGAAGGCCGGATGGGCAGGGTCACCTTTGCACCCCTCAAGTTCCCCCCCATGTACTAGAATCTTAAAAACAAGGCTTTGCTAAAAACAAAGAAAAAAAATTATATATACATATACACACACTTTCATTTTTTCTAAGGAAAAAAACAAAAAAAAAATCCTTTTCAATGACTTCTGTCTTCTTGGGCATTCTTAAAGGGATTTGTTGAACCCCCCACATATTAGAAAGCCTCAAAAAAGACAATACCTCTTTCCTGTTCAAGGGCAAAAGTGTTTTTGCAAAAGGACCCAACATTCACTTTGACATCACTTCTGTGATCAGACACTTTGGGAAAGCAGTACGTTAATCCTCTCCGTAATGCAGTGTTTCTCAACTCCAGTCCTCATGGACCCCCAACAGGTCATGTTTTCAGGATTTCCCTCAGATGAAACAGCTGTGGTAATTACTAAGGCAGTGAAACTGATCAAATCACCTGTGCAAAATAATGGAAATCCTGAAAACATGACCTGTTGGGGGTCCATGAGGACTGGAGTTGAGAAACACTGCCGTAATGTGACAGCGATCAGCTGCTAGACCTGGACCCCAGCACTGTCACACATTCCCTCATATCTGAAAGCACCAGGTATTTTTGGTGGCAGCGATGTAGTGAGAAGTGGCAGAGGAGTAATAGCAGTGAGCATCGGTGGGTTGGGGGCCCCTTTGCAAAATAAAACCCAAAATCGATGCGGTGTCTTGAATGGCCAAGGAAACACGTGCATTTAAAATGTAAAGCCAAAACTTGTTAGTTTTGAGTAAAGTGAAGAAAAGTTAAAATTGGTCAGGTTTTTATTTCTCCTCAAGGTCTCATTGAGATTTCCCACCCCCATTTACTATCCCAGCAATGTCACCCCAAAAGACAGGGCAACAAAGCAGTAAAATCGAGGCACTAACGGTTTCCCCACCATATCCAAAAGAATGCAGATGGAGAAGCACTTTAAAAAGGAAAGCTACTATCCTCTGATTTACAGGCAGCCAAGCTCCTGTTCAGCATTAAAGTAAGCTGACTGCTCCAGAACTATAAAAACAATATGAATTGAGAACAGCATCTTCCCCATAAGGCATTTCATCTGACTTGGCTGCTCGATTCAGCAAATGGTTTAAGGAGCAGAGAACTTTTCAGCTTTTACACAGACTTGGCCTTTAAAGTCCACGTAAAACATAACGAACGTTAAAACGTGGGACTTGCAGAGGCATCAACTCAGTGAATTCTGAAAAAGTTGGCCAAGACCATGATACTAATGGTTCCACCAAAATAAAACTTCTTGGGCTCTTTAAAATAAAGACAACTTTTGCTTTCCAGAAAAGTTCTGAAAAAAATAGTCTAAAATAAAAACAAATCTAAAATAAAGGGCACGTGGCTCTGGGTGTCATGTCAAGAAGATCAGTCCGGAAATGCCAGAAAGCTTTGAGTTAAAGCTGGAAGGAGCTTCCAATGTCCATATTTACAGCAACTCTAATCTTCTAGGATGTAGTTGGGGTTGACAACCAGGTAAGGATCCTCTTCCTTGCCGGCTTCCTCATCACTGCCAGAGCCTTTCAGTCCAGTCTGTGATAATTCAATCAAGATCTGATCCTAAAAACAAAGGAAAAGCATGTTTAGTCAAGTGATGTGGAGTCAACAAGGAACTTACACCTTGTGATAGACAATGATATATAGCTGCAATGCATTCCATCCCAAATCAGAACTTTTAATTTGTGCCAGGACATACATGTGCTTGTTGGCCTCACTGTTTCTTTCAGCTGAAAATCTTTTAAAGTGGTTGCAAAGGAAAAAAGGTTTTGTTAATGCATTCTGTATTAAGGTAACTCCCCCCCCCCCCCCCCATACTTACCTGAGCCTGATCTTGATGCAGTAATGTACACGAAAGCAGAGGCTCCCTCCCTCCTCACTGACTCGGACAGCAGTGGAAGCCAATGGCATAATCATAGCCAGTGGAGGAAGGGGTGGGGGCAGAGCTGAGCCACACTGAGCCTTATGGCTGGCTCGGGATGACCAAGCACGAGTGCCCCCCATAACAAGCGGCTTGCTAAGGAGACACTCGGAGGGGAGGGGATGTTGGGTTAGGAGCCAGGAATGCCAGCAGAGGACCTGAGAAGCGAAAGATCAGGGTTGCTCTGTGCAAAACCATTGCACAGAGCAGTTGAGCAGAACATGTTTTCTTAAAATAAAAAAGGTTATCCTTTACAATCACTTTAAACCACTAATTGAAGCAGTAGCAGACAACACAGGTGCAGATAAAGGAAAAAAAAGAAAAAAAAAGGCCTTTAAAAGTACAACTTGTTCAAGTTATTATTACATCGAGTTTATATAGCGCCAAAGGGTTTGCTCAGCGCTGTACAATAGGGAGAGGAATAATACATGAAACAGTACAACAATAACAAACAACGTACGAGGGGGTTAGAGGGCTCTACTCTTTCGAGCTTACAATCTAGGAGGGAGGGGGTAGTGGTACAGGAGGAAGTGGCTGAGGGGATTGAGGGGTGGGAGGAAAGAGGGAGAATGGCCATTAGGTGAGGGTGGGGTAGGCTTCCCTGAAGAGGTGGGTTTTGAGGGAGCGCCTGAATGTGAGGAGGGAAGGCGAAAGTCTGATGGATTGGGGCAGTGAGTTCCAGAGGATGGGGGAGGACCTGGAGAAGTCTTGCAGTCGTGCATGGGAGGAGGAGACCAGGGAGCAGGATAGAAGGAGGTCCTGTGAGGAGCGAAGGGTTTGGGTAGGGCAGTACTTGGGGATCAGGTTGGTGAGGTAGTTAGGGGCAGTGTTGTGACAGCCATTTCCCACTGCAACCACTCAGAATAAAACCCATCACATTACAACTGTCATCCCTTCTGGGAAGGTTCACTCCCTGTGGCTGGATTCTGATATCTGTACACAGGTGATGCATGGAATGCAGAGATGTGAAAAGATGAGAATTTCTCTCCATATTTACATGGAAAAAAAAAAAAGCTGGTCCAGAAAAAAAAAAGCCTGTCTTGAAAAAGGGACCTGCGTATATTTGCAGACTTCTGTGGAGATGCAAAACCAACTTGAAGCAGATAAATTGCAGGTCATCTGCACCCTTCAAATTCTGAATGATCTGAGAAGCATCTCAAACTGATGCTTGAAAGACAGAGGGATTGGCCCAGTGCTGTAAACAGGGCAGCTCAGTTTACATGCCAGGGCCACTGCGGGGAGGCAGGTAGGTAGGTGCATATTATTGCAGAAGGGACATTGTATGTACACCTGCCATCTCACAGTGTCATAACCAAGACTTCAGGTCCAATTTAACTGCATACAGTTCTAAGGGCTCGTTCACACTTGGCTGTTTTACCAACGCTTGCCAAACGCCCCTATAGTGCTTGGCAAGCGTTGGTCCGGCGTTTGCAAAGCGTTTTTTTAAATCCCGCATGCGCGGTTTAGCGGAGGTTGCTAGGCGTTTGCCAAGTGTTAAAAACGCCCGACAAACGCCTATAATGAAGTTTTAATGATGTTACCACTCCGCAAACGCCGGCCGTTTGCGAAGCGGCACCATAGACTAGAACAGGAGGCTTCAACGCCTCCTGACTCAACCAGAGGCGTCCGTTTTGCCGTGATGCTACCGCTCCATGTGCTGCAATGTGCAGAATTGGCAGAGGCGTTTGGGAAGCGGTAAAAACACTTCCCAAACGTCTCTCTGCTGCCTGCACACAACGCTAGTGGGAACATAGCCTTAGGATACTGTATACCTTGACATACCATTCACTATAAATGTGTCTTGTTGGCAGATAGTTCTTGTTCGAAGTGAAAACGGCAAAGTAGCAGAGAAAACCACTAAATATAAAACATGAGCCTGCTGTACACTAAAGATACTTTGATTTACCAAACAGTTCAGTAGCCATTTGAATATTCCAACTTTAGTTAGAGCTTACACAGGGCTGAAGACTCTCTCCACTATGTGACAGCTCTGGTTCAATCCTTCCCCAGTGCCGTCACCTGAAAGGAAGAGACGTCACACTCAAGTAAGAGGTTTTTTTTTCTTTGCTCCCAGCAGTAAAGTGGAGTGGTGGTGGAGCCAGGAACAGTATATGCTGCTGGGAAGGAGCAATGCACAAGTTTACAAAGCCCAATGTTGTAACAAACTGAAGAAAACTCAACCTATAAGCTATAGGTGTCTCCCGGTAGGCAAGTCAGAAAGACAAACTTGCAAACCAGGTACCTGTATTTTCTGGCGTATAAGGCGACTGGGTGTATAAGCCGACCCCCTACCTTTCCAGTTAAAACCTAGGTTTTGGGCTATACTCGCCGTATAAGACTACCCCCCTTCCGCATTGGATGCGTGTATGTACAGTAGCTGAGGCTACATACAGTATACAATGGGCCAATCACGGCGAGCGATGTATTTTACTAATGAATACAAAGCCTGCTCGGATTGGCTGAAGTTGTGACATCAGCCCACCTCTCTGACTCAGCCAATCCGAGCAGGCTTTATATTCATTAGTAGAATACATCGCTCGCCGTGATTGGCCCAGTGTAACTGCAGCTACCGTACATACACGCATCCAGCGGTCTGATTACCGTAGGGACGTACCGGTACGTTTTGAAACCGCTTGGCTCAGTATACTGTATATACCGCACATCCAGCGGGCTGACAGATTAATCTGTCATAGGGACATTTGTTTTGAGCCAGCTTGGCTCAGCACGGTATACTGTATGTACAGTATTACCACACATGCAGCCAGCTTCACCCAAACAAACTCAAAGTTCACATTTTATACCCCGCGTATAAGATGACCCCCAATTTTTGGGGTATAATTTTTAAGTATAAAAAGTAGTCTTATACGCCAGAACATACTGTAAGTCTCTCTAGCTCAGGGGTGTCAAACTGGTGGCCCTCCAGCTGTTGTGAAACTACAAGTCCCATCATGCCTCTGCCTTTGGGAGTCATGCTTGTAACCGTCAGTCTTGCAATGCCTTATAGGACTTGTAGTTTGGCAACAGCTGGAGGGCCCCAAGTTTGACACCTGTGCTGTAGAGTGTCATATTCTACTGTTAACCCAGACAGTGACCGCCATCATGCAATATTAAAAGCCATGGTCATTGCTATACAGGGACTATGCAGAGTATTCCAGTGATCTATATCGCAAGCTCTGTAGTTCAAGTCACACTTCTTCCAGCATGTCCTTACCTCCGTACATATCTGAGGCTGGGGAAAGACCATTGCAAGAGACGCCACCTGCAACACACTGATTGTGGGAGCAATGCTCTGCAAGATTATTTTAGCAAAACGGCACATTAATCACGTGATCAGTGTTGCTGCATTTTGCAAAAGGCAGACTAACCCTTTAAAACCATTAACTCTTGCATAGAGCCAGCAGCGCTTCTATAGAGAAAGCTTTAGATTTTGTAATTATACTCTGATGATGATCATCAAAATACTTACATAATGAACTAGTCTGTGGATAACCTTCTCAATGATCTGCTTCCGGTTTACGAGTTCCTCTTCAGAGTCAATCTCTAACTCCATCTCCTTCAGATACCAGTTAATGAGCTCGTTTTTCTTCTGAGTCGATTCATCCTCATCTGTGTGGACCAAGCACAAAATAAGTGACTGCCGTGCCCCTGCTATAAGCATTTCCCATTACACAGAAGTTTAGCCTTCTTACTGACCCTCCATCTTCCTCAGCTGCAGGACCAATAAATTGGAGATCCTCTTGTATTCTGTAAAGCTGAGACGCAAGGTTGGTTTGGCAGACGTCTCCATAGGCTCGCTATCTGCATGACCATTTATTCCATTCACATGACCATTGGGTATTCCGGCATCGCCTGAAATGACGGCATGTTAGAAGAGGAGAGTCCTGGCATCATGACCAGTTCTACGCAGGAAATCATAGAACGCTCACCATTGATGTCCTCCTGAGCCTGCTCTTCCTCTACATCCTCCTGATCCAGGTTCACATCTGGGGTCTCCACTCTAATAATGGACTTGTTCAGCAGTCGGAAAGCTTCTTTGACATGTTTTGGCTGCACCTGTAGCAGATTGGGAGTTTTTTTTTTTTGTAATAAAACACAACAAAACACTAGAAGATAAAGCTCAAAACTGTACTAGAGTGCAATAAAGATACCACAATGAACACGTCATCAATTCATATCCTGTGAACGAGGTTTAGAAAAAAATAAATATATAATTTTTTTGTAAAATATGAAAGAGGATGTTACAGCGAGTAAATAGATACCCAACATGTCACGCTTTAAAATTACACATGCTTGTGGAATGGCGTGAAACTGTGGCACTTAAAAAAAATCTCCATGGTGATGCTTTAAAAATTTCTACAGGTTAGCAGTGTAAAGTCAGAGGAGGTCTAGTGCTCTATTTGCTCGTGGCGATACCTCATGTGTGTGAATTGAACACCGTTTACATATGTGGGCATGGCCTACGTATGTGTTCACCACTACATGCTAGCACAGGGGAACTTTAAACTTTTTTTTTTATAAATTAAAATTTTTTTTGCACTGTCCCTTTAAAAAAAAAAACAAACAAAAAAAAAACTTTTTAATCACTTATTCTTATTACAAGGAATGCATGCATCCCTTGTGATAGAAATTAGTGAGAGATATGGGGTCATTAAGACCCATCTCTCCTCTGCAATGTAAAGCCTTAGATCAAAAAAAGCATTGATCTAGTACAAAAAAAAAAAAACAACACAGGAACAGGAAGCGACATTGCTCCGGTCTTCCAAAAGGGCATAGAGATGAGTGGCGGCCATCTTTCTTTCACTCATCTCTATGCCCAGCACTGGGATCGGTTTCTCAGGTAAGGCCAAGAACTACCGAGCGGCGGCGAGGGTTTTTCTGCACCTGTAACGGTGCTTTTTTTCCCCCTATTTCAGCCAACGGCCGAAAGGGGTGTTTTCAGCTACCGAAATTTCAGTGCATCTCTAGAAACCATGCCAGTTATATTGCTATATTTTTTTTATAGCTTATGGGTTTCATAAACCTTTAATCTCTCCAGTTTTTATATTGTTGAAAATTACTTGGGTCATACTGTTGTACCTATCTGAGCAATGTAAACCCCATGGGCTCAATGCACTACTCAGACGTCATACGATATCATACAGTGTGTATTTTTAGGAAGTATAAAAGTATATTTTATATATAGAAAAAAAATCTCTATTTATCTCTATCTATATGTTGCCAACAGTTTATTTGCATTGTCTCATCACTATCAACCCACACATGTACGAGTGGCTGTTAGGGATTACTTCTATACTAAAAATTAAAATTTGGGAGTTGCATGTCCTCACGTGCTGTAGGGAACACATAAGAAAAATTACTATCTTTGAAGCCACTATTGTTGCATAAGTAAACACTAACCACATGAAGCAAATTCATCCCTACTAATGAACTTCCAGGATTCTCACCTCATCACTGCAATGCATCCTTGCCATGGCTTCAGACAGCCGGATCATACTCTCCAGCTGTCGGACAGTGATCCTCCAAGCTGACTTAGTAACCCCAGAGCCATCCCTCTGTCGAAGCCTCTTGTACTGCTCCACTATGAAGTCTTCTGACTCTTTAGAGATCTGTTTTGCAAGTAGAAAATTTTATAAAGAGAAGGGCAAACAATGAAGAACACCAGAAAATCCTGCTTTTAGGAAACTTACTTTAGGCTTGAACTGCCGGGCAAAGAGCAGGTATCTACGGACTTCATCGAGGGTGTACACTCTGTCAATGGATTCTTCAATGCGGGAGTGTAGGTCGACAATACGCCGAGCAATGGCGTAATCCGTCACCTAAAGACCATTAAAAGTTATTAAGACAGCATTCTCAGACCAAACCAAGCTAATAAACCTGGCTACTAAAAATAAAAAAAAATATGCAATAGTAGTTGGGTTAAATTAAAATGGTGAGTCTAAACAGTTTCACTTTGAAATATTTCTCAGGTCAAATTTATAGTTGTGGATAGTAGGGAAGGGTCAGATCCGGTGTCAGGTTTTTACCAAGTTCACACTTGAGAAATGAAACCTCTATTTGTGCTGATGGCAAACAGGAAAATCAAAATATCAGCTGTAGGAGTGGAAAATATTTCTACTTTGGGAAAATGTTACTAGCTATTAGCTTGGTTAAGGACAATTCATTTGGCTAGAAAGTTTATTGTAAAATGCTATCATGGTACCTCATTGCATTCATCAACCAGGATGAAGAAGAGGTCAAATCTTGACATGATCGGAGCAGACAAGTTTATGTTCTGTTTTAGAGACTTTGATCTGTCATAACGACCACCAACAGGATTTGCAGCAGCCAAGATGGATGTTCTTGCATTCAGCGTTGCCTGATGAAGAAAAGTACAAGTCAGTAAACTCCCATAAGAAAAAGGGGGGGGTGAAAGGAAAACTAGTCCTCCAGTTTGCAAGGATTACCTTAACACCAGCTTTGGTGATGGAGATGGTCTGCTGTTCCATGGCTTCATGGATTGCCACCTGGTCCTTCAGGTCCATTTTGTCAAATTCATCAATGCAACACACACCCTGCAAAGGCAAAAAAACGTATTCGTTAAGACAGTCAATGCATTGCAGCAAGGCGGAAGTTGCAATGGACCAAAATGGATTTAGCTCAAGAGTCAATTGTGCCCAAACACAGAAGTTACAGATATATAATCGTATACCAAGTCTGTTAGCATCATGTAGAAGGTAGATCAGTAGTCCCAACTCTTTTTGGCACCAGGACCGGGTTTTGTGGCATAACATTTTCCCAGGGGCTGGGCAGGTTGATATGGCCTGCCACCAGATGCAGCTTGTCACTTGCCACTCACCGATAGGATTTTCATAGGCGTGTCTGTGCAGTCAAAACTCTAATGATCTGTATCTGCTGCCGTTCTCCAGCATAGCATCACCGCATCAGAGAAGCGCGCAACTTAGATCCCTTGCATGCGCAGTTTACAGCAGGGTTCACACTCCTATGAGAATCCAATGCCCCCAGTGATCTGACCAGAAGCGGAGCTCAGGCGATAATGCAAACGGGCTGTAAATGGAGGTCAAGCTTGACTTGCTTGCCACTCACTTCCTACTGTGTGGCCATGTTCATGACCAGTAGCGGTCCATGGCCCAGGGACCTCTGTGATGGATTATGTTCCAAAGGCCAGATGGCTTTTCATTTTCTATCAATTAGCAATAATAGGACAAGCAGAGTCTGATAACCATTTCAAGCACAAAATGTTCAAAATGTTTTAGCTACCAAAGAGGTATCACATTGCAACTTATGATATACGAATGGTGATCCCCCACTTTTATACCTTGGATGCTTGATGGATTTTAAAATAAGGTATGTGCGATATGCTGTAAGGAACATGTCCAGGTTTACTTTCACGATTTTAGGATCCAGCTGGCTTAACCACTTCAAGTCCGGACACTTTTACCCCCCTTCCTGTCCAGGCCAATTTTCAGCGCTATCACACTTTAATGACAATTGCGCGGTCATGCAACACTGTACCCATATGAATTCTTTAGCATTTTTTTTGAGACAGATAAAACTTTATTTTGGTGGTATTTATTCACCACTGGGATATTTATTTTTTTTGCTATGTAAAATGAATATGTCCAAACATTTTGGAAAAAAAGTGTTTTATAAAAATTTTGCAAATAACTAATATTTCATCATAAATCTTGGCCAAAATTTATTGTTATTTTTAGTAAAAAATAACCTAAATTAGTTTAGAACCAAAAATAATTTTTAAAAATGTTTTTTTTACATTTTTATATTTATGTATTTATTTTTACATACTGTCTCACTAGCAGTACAGTGTCACCATGGTGGCACTGTACTACTTGTGGGGGGTGATGAAGATTTTTTTTGTTTTTACACCCATAAAAGGCTGTAAAAGCAATTATTTCTCCTCCTCTCTGGCTGCATTCTTGCAGCCATTGAGAACTACTGTGTGAGCTGATTGGTCACAGCTTGTCACATGGTAGAAGGCTATTGTGAATAGCCTTGTACCATGTGACCTCTGATCATTCCCAGATTTCACACGTAGTAAGCAATGATGTCAGAAGTGACATCTTGCTTACTACTCTGCATGTGATCACTGATTGGCCAATCAGTGATCACATGATCGGGACTTCACACAGAGATACGACAATCGGTTTTCCACTGTCTGGAGGATACAGCGGGCACCGGATTGCGGTGCTGCGCGCTCCCAGGGAGTGCGCACAAGCAGGGTGCGGGGAGGCAGTTTATAAAAACGGCCACTGACCCTGCACTGCCACCGTCTGGAAGGTTAAATACAACGGCCAGACGGGTTAAATTAACTCTTCATAACCAAGTTATTGTGGCACTGTTAGTGCTGAATCACACTGTAGCAGCATCAGCTACATACACTATGCAGCCCTGTGGTCCTGCAGCATCTCAGGAGACTTCCCATCTGTTGCCAAGAACTAAAATAGAGTTTGGCTGAGTACTTATTAACAGAAAGCCTTGTATTTTATCAACGGATTCAAGATTTCCCGATTGGTTGAGGTGAAAAGGTGGGTAAATGATGTCACGGTTTCCACCTCAGCCAGAGAAGTACTATATTGATAACAATACAAGTCTATGAATAGCTGAGTAGCACTTAGCCTGACTCATGTTGAGGCATACATCACATTACTGCAGCCAGATCACAATCCCATCCGCATACTATATGTAGCTGACGTTACTACAGTAGGATACTAAAGTGGTGGATGAGGTCTATCAACATACTGGCCTTTCTAATGCCTCCTTGTTCAATCCCCCTGGTAAGCCATCCCCCTGTGTATCGGTCTTTAAGGACCTGGTCCTTAAGGATCTAGAGACTGTCCATAATAGGAATATCCATGGGGAAAAAAGTTTTGAAGAGGGTCATAAAGCAGTTGTGCAATAGGAAGAATATCACCTGCCCTGCAGATAAAAGGAAGGCTGGCAGGGGAAAATCGGACAAGGTAGATTATGGAAATTAATATCATCCTCACTGATCATGATACTTATTAGTTGGATTAGAACCCAAAAAGGGATATAAAAAAGATCTACAAAACATTATAAACACAAGGTATGGGGAGTGCATTCTTAGCAAGGAGAAGGCCTATTTGGTTCCTGTTGCCCCCATGTACCTGCGATTTATTATTTACCTAAATGTCCACAAAAACTTAACCAAACCACCAGGTCGACCGATCGTAAGTGATATAGATGAACATCGATGATTGGAAAATATGCTGAGTTTTTACAATTATTAGTTCCTAAGATGCCCTCTTTTCTAAAAGATACCACTCATACCTTGAATTTGATCAAGGAGGTCACGTAGGAGAGTTATATCTTTGCCACTGCTGATGCGGCTTCTCTTTACACCATTATTCCCCAAGATCAGGGTTTAGAGGCAGTAAGATACTATCTAGACCAGGATGGCTCTTTGCCCAAAAAACAGAGGGATATTACTTTAGTTATTGGATTTCACAACATTACTATTTTTGGTTTAGTGGTTGTTGCAAAATCGCAGCGTAGCGATGGGAGCTAAAATTTGAAGCTAGCATGGCGAATCTTTTTTTGGCCAAGTGGGAGGATGTCATCTTGAAGAACCAGAAGCCGGAGTGGATTCTCTGGTGCAGGTATATCGATGACATCCTCCTATGGGATGGCGATTTGGGTTCTCTTGAAATTTTTATATCTAGCCTGAATAATAGCCAGAGGGGTATTAAGCCAAGCTAGATTTTACAGCTAATCAGATTTCCTTCTTGGATTTAAATATTAGGGTGGAGGATATTACCACCACACACTTTAAAGAGACTGACCGTAATGGTTTTATCTCTGGACAGTTGTCATCATGCCTCACAGCTGACGGCAGTTCCCAAAAATTGATTTTTAAAGCTCAGAAGTTATGATGAAAACAATGAAATACCACGATACACGATGTAGCTCATTTGAATAGGTACCAACGGTTAAGGGGTAACACTAGTAGGGAGGATCAGAATACCTCTTGCCTATTCCCTGATTAACTTTTTATTTCTTTCCATATATTTTAAAATTATATACACTTTTCAATTAATTGTATATGATATTTGGTCTTGGCTTAATCCAAATACGGACTGGTTATAATCATTTTTCAGATATATCCCTTCATTTTGTAATACCCTGTTTTGGCCACAGGATGCGGGTCGATGCTGATTGTGTCAGTTCAGCAAGCCACTTCCAGTAAACCATATTTGGAGAAGTTCTTTCCTGATGTGAATTATATAAAGTGCGCGGTGACGGTGGTCAGGCCACACCCCCAACGACGTCAATCCAATGACGAAACGCGCTGGATGGAGCCTGACGTGATGTCACCATGCTGATCGGTCGTAACCCTTGATATGCATCAGGATTGATGAAGCTTTGTGATGTTTTGACGACTTGTTAACATTAAGTGCAATAATTTTTTTTAATAAACACATTTTTAGAACATACTGCACTATTAGGCTACGTTCACACTAGCCTTGTGTGCAGGCGGCAGAGAGGCGTTTGGGAAGCGTTTTTACCGCTTCCCAAACGCCTCTGCCAATTCTGCACATTACAGCACATGGTGCTGTTCTAACAGGAGCGTTTGCGTCGCGGCAAAACGGACGCCTCTGGTCGAGTCAGGAGGCTTTGAAGCGTCCTATTCTCGTCTATGGTGCCGCTCCGCAAACGCTCGGCCGGCGTTTGCGACACGGTTGCGGGGCGTTTGCGGAGCGGTAACACCACTCAAATGCATTATAGGCGTTTGTGGGGCGTTATTAACGCTCGGCAAACGCCTAGCAACCGCCGCTAAACCGCGCATGCGGCGTTTGCGGAGCGTTAAAAAACGCTCCGCAAACACCGGACCAACGCTTGCCAAACGCTATAGGGGCGTTTGGCAAGCGTTGGCAAAACAGCCAAGTGTGAACGAGCCCTTAGATTTTATATACCGCAATTGATGGGAGAGTGAAGGTTACAGTGGAGCCATAGGACTGGAATATAGCCATACAGCATGGACATGTTGTGGGATTCCCTTTACACGCTTTTGGATTAACTTGAAGGCCCAACAATTCCGGTAAGTGTTTACTCATCTATGGTTATCAGAAGAAGTATCCCGGAATGTCGCTCTCTACAGTCCTGTTGGAAACGAGGGTCCTTTCTTTGATGGTTAGGAACACATACACCATCAAGGACATTTATTGGTGTGGACATTTATTTGGTCATGGCAGATTGTCACCATTTTGAATGTACACTTTTTAGCGCTGCACTTTTTGTATTAGGTTTATTGTGGTTTCGCATCTTTCACCTGTGCCAGCTGCTTATTTTTTTTATCAAAGCACAGAATCACATCGGGTCTGAGTATGATATGGCACTATCAGTTGCAGAAAGGTGCCAAAACTAAAGTGAAAATTAAAGCTGGACTCAGGTTGTAAACTACTGAATCTTTCCCATTCCCCTAATCTTCACGGCACAGAACTTGTGGACAGAACACAGGAAGAGTTCACAAGAGACGGGTCAACTCTAAATTTGTCACAATAGGCTTTTTTAGCATTTGAACAAAATGTAACAAAACTCTTTCAATGACATTTAAAGGAATAAAGATGTTCCTTGTAAGGGTTTGGATACACGAACAGACAAAAACTGTTATAATAACCAAGTGACTTGACATCTCATTGACCTTAGCAGCTTAAAAAGTAGAAACTAAACCCTTTTATCTTTTTCAGTAGGGGTGCACCAAAATTTCAGTGGCCGAAACGTTGCGGCCGGAAACAAACAAAAACAAAAAAGCACCAGTACAGCTACCAAAAAAACCCTGCCCCCTCTTGGCCGCCACTACCACTCGGTAGCTCTCAGCCTTACCTGAGAAACCATTGAATGATCCTGGCGCTGGGCATAGAGATGAGTGAAGCAAAGATGGCCTCCACTCATCTCTATGCCCTTGGAGGACCAGAGTGATGTCACTTCCGGATATACTGACCCCATATCTCTGCATAAAGAGGACCTGTCACCAAGTATCTTTTACAAGGCAGGCATGCATTCCTTGTGATAATAAAAGTTATAATTTTTTTTTTTTTTAAAGGGACAGTGCAAAAAAAAAAAAAAATTTTTTTAAAACGTGCCCGTTCCTGTGCTTGCACGTAGTGAACGCATACGTAGGCCATGCCCACATATGTAAATTCTCGCACTAGACCTCCTCTGTAACATTACACTAACCAATAGACATTTTTAAAGCATCACCCATGGAGATTTTTTAAGTACCGCATTTTGATGCCATTCCACGAGTGTTCACAATTTTAAAGTGTGACATGTTGGGTATCTATTTACCCGCCGTTACATCCTCTTTCATATTTTACAAAAAATGGGGTATATATATATTTTTTTTTTATCAGTGTATTTTTTTTAATATAAAATATATATTCATTTTTAAAAACTGCACGTTTCGGTTTTCAGCCAAGTGCATTTTGAATTTTTGTGTTTGGCACCAGAATTTTCATTTTGGTGCACCACTACTTCTCAGCCAAGGAAGCTGCCATTTAAGCTTCTGATTTGCAACTGCCATGGTGCTGCACATGTAAATCAGTTACAACACCAGCCATTTGATGGTTTGACAGATTGGTTGAGAGCACAAGCAAGTTGTGACAGTATTTCTGGCATGCTGGGCAGGTTTTCTGAAACCAATAAATCAATGGGTTTAGTTCCGCTCTAAAATCTCCAGTAAAACCAAACTGTCCTATTGAACATTTTCAAATATGGCTTCAGTGTGAGTGCAAAGATTTCAGCACTGGCTACAAGCCCTGTTGATTGAAAACAAAGCAGTAAGGAGCAACTCACATTATCGGCCAACATCAAGGCTCCGGCCTCGATCACAAACTCATGGGACTCTTCGTCCTTCACTACAGCCGCAGTCAGACCAGCAGCAGTGGATGCCTTCCCGCTTGTGTACACCGCCCGCGGGCTGAACTCCTCAACGTGTCTGAAAAAACAAGTAACATTGTTATGCTGATGTACAGGTTAAAAAAGGAGACTATTTAAACATGTGCAAGCCATTTGACAGAACATTCACAGCAACATATACCCTAAAAAATCCCTTAAAAGTTGTTGTAAACCTCAGACATTATTATTTCAGGTACTTATATAGTGCTGTCAATTTACGCAGCGCTTTACACATATATTATACATTCACAACAGTCCCTAAGCCTCAAGGGGTGTACAATCTAAGGTCCCTAACTCACATTCATACACATATTGGGGCCAATTTAGACAGGATCCAACTGACCTACCAGCAGGTCTTTGGAGTGTGGGAGGAAACCGGAGTAGTACCTGGAGGAAACCCATGCAGGCACAGGGAGAACATGCAAACTCCAGGCAGGTGGCGCCGTGCCTGGGATTCGAACCAATGACCCTAGTACTGCCAATCGGAAGTGCTAACCATTTAGCCACTGTGCTGCCCACACATGAAATATGAACAACGCATATCCCTCTGTAGTGTGTACTTGTCTCAATCCAGAGCACAGCGTAATTTCGGTCTGCTGTTTCATTCCTTTGCTATCTGCACGAGTCACTTCCTGACACCAACAGAGGGGGTGGGGGGGAAGCTCCAGCACAGTCTGTGATTAACAGTCTCAGTTTTGTTCCTGTGTGCAGGGGCTGTGTCCATTCCCTTCAAACAACTCATATCTCCCTGATGTACCTCCAGCTCCCGGCTTTTCAGACCTGGAAGAACCCGTGTAAATTCTGCACTTTGAATGAAAGTAGGGGGAAAGACAGCTTTAGATAAATAGGTACAACTTATGTAGGATGACTTGTTTCATCTCTGTATCACCTGACTCTGCATTGGGTATATTTAAAAGGATTACTTTTTTTTTTGTTAAAAAGTATTGAAATCAGTGTCCCAGGCATATTATTAAAGCGTCAACTTTTTTGGAGATTAGCTATAAGCACTGTTAGAAGGACAGCACTTTAATTCATGGCCCCAAGTTAGATTTTGTTTTACTTCCTGGTCTGGTGAAGCCATGCATACACAAGCTTTGTATTGGGAAGTTACGTTCAATTTGAATGGAACTTTACTGCAATAGTGTGAATTGTCTTTTAAAAAAGGCACTCACTTTGAGAGGTGGGGCGGAATGTAGATATTGGAGCTTTAGTGGCAAGAGAATAGAAACTGCTCAAAATAGGAACACTTTGAACACACTTCAAATCTCAATGGGGAAAAATCTCCTGCTGGATCTCTATCCTGATATGGACTGAGTAATGTCTTAGGAGCGTAAGGATGCCCATCGTTTGATGGAAATCAAAATGAACCTACAGAGGACTGAATTCAAAGACATCCCGAAAATCAAAGTGAAAAAAAATGAATCTTTAAATGACAAGATTAAAGAGCGGCGATTAGTTTTACAAAAGGGGCCATACACCTGTCAAGTGGGAGGCTACCATTAGAGTCCTGGAAGATATCTAGACACAGTGGAGCAGCTTGGAAATCTACCCCTAGGCTAGAAAAGGCGTTTTTGACCTGCTTTACAGGACACGGTGAGCGCATTTATGAACGGTGGTGGGAGTCACTGTATGACTATAAACATGGAGGGTGGAACAAGTTATAAAAAAGGACTTTACCGACGATTATCACAATTTATGAATTGAGACTTTGTATTTAATAATACAAGTTGATTATTTATCAGCGATTTCACTGTTTATATTATGCACACTATTGTTTGGTAAACATTATCATACATGTACAATTAGGCATCACTTGCATCAGTTTTAGGGAAGGCACAGCCAAACTTTAATTTTTGGTCTTCTTGGTGTTAGTGGGAGCACTATCAATTGGTTGTAGCCACCTGCTTTTTTGTTTATTCATGAAGGGAGTTTTGTGGTTTAGTGGGTAGAATGGGGATCACGAGTATTATTTAGTATCAGTGGGCTACAGATATAGTACGCAGACCTGCCCAAACAAAAGCCATGAGATCGAAGATGCACACAATGTTCTACTTACTTGAGGAACTGACTCTTTGCTGTACTTGGGTCTCCAACAATGCAAACATTGATGTCTCCACGCAGAGATGTGCCCTCCATAGTGGTCTTTGGGACACCACCAAAAAGCATGAGCAAGACACCTCGCTTCACCTCATCGTTACCTGCATGGTAAGGGGGGGGGGAAAAAAAAAGTTTTAGGATTATGATGACACTTGGCAGAAGCTACAGGCTCAGTGGAGGATAAACGTACCATGTATGGTAGGGAAGAGACTGGTGCAGAGATTATGGTAAAGATTCTTATCCTGGCTCATCTCAAAAACCTTCTCCCATTCCTTCACAGACATCTGATTCTTGATGCTCTCTGCTGTCATATCCTCATCATTCAGATCTTTTCCACCAAACTGGGGGGGGGGGGGGGGGGGGGAAAACAAACAAAAAAATGTATATACACATATATACATACAAATACACGTCGGTAGACTAGGTCTTATCCTACATCATACACCAACACAGAACCAGCAAACAAATGCTCCTGCGCTTAGGGATGGACTCAGTGTAGGCTAGGACCACATCATGAATGTCCTGGAATATGCACATCTTGCAGCCCTCCAAAATGTACTGAATGGAGAAAGAACAGAGGGTGCACTAGCCTAGTGCATCACCTTAGAAATAGGTATTGTACTCACAGACGACAGTAAAGTCAAAAGGCACATCATGAAACCAGCTGTCAAAACCGCGCTACGTTACTGTCCGCAATGGGTAGTGTAGACATTTAATAGGTTAACGAGTTTCAAGGACCTGCCTCTTCCTCAGCCTTGTGGTGCCGAAGAAAAGGCAAGTCCTTGAAACGCATTATCCTATTGGATGTCTACACTACCCATTGCAGACAGTAACGTAGCGCGGTTTTGACAAAGCTGTGCTTTCATGATGTGCCTTCGACTTTACTGTCGTTTGTGAGTACAATACCTATTATTACCATCATCCAACACTTCTGTCATACAACTAAACAAGCAGATCAAAATTTCACAACCATATATAGCTCCAGGACCAGGGCGCACACAAGTACAAAGAGAATTGCAGCTTTTTGGAATACTTGATTATGAAAGGATTCAATGAAGTCTTATGCAAGCAAAATCACTTTCTAGTAAAAAGGGTCAAATCAATCAAAAAGGATATAGTCACCCACTGAACTTGAGTGGCAAAACCTGCCCTGCCACATTTAGTTATCACCATGGAGCTGTGAGCCCCTACCCCTAAAGATATATAAAAAGCCCACAAAAGAGTTAAGAGGGACCAGCTTGAAATGAGGGCTCTTTGCAGGCTCAAGAAGTCAAGCAAAACTATGCAACCAAGAAATACAAGAAGCCATCCTGTCTCTCCAGATGGACATATATAAAGATAAATATAGATCTATATTTTTTACATTCACATCAGTCCCTAAGGAGCTTACAATCTAGTAGTCCCTACCTTACATTTATACATACAAGTGCCAATTTAGACAGGAGCCAAGTAGCCTCCCTAGCGGTCTGATTATGTCAGTATTTCTGTGCTCAAAGCGGTACATTTTTTTTGCATGGAAATAGGTTTTTTTAGTAGGCCTGTCATTTTAGGAATAACTCACTGAAATCTGTCCAAACAAGAGAGTCTAGTAAACATCCCAGGTATATTAAAATTTGAAACACAAAATCATAAGTTATAATTTAATAATCAAAAAAATATAAAATTCAATAATATAATCAAACCAAAAACACTGAAATGCGAAATATAGCTCCAAGTTCGCACATCACTGAGCTTAGTCGCAAAAATCGTGTCTCGGTGTCTGATGATGAATTTCCCCCACGAATCTTTATCACTCAATTCTGCAAGTGGTTCTGATTTACTATCGCTGTTCTCTAGCTGGTCTAAAACCGCTTTTGACCTAAAAGGGACACCTTTTGGACGCCATGGACGTTTCTCAGTTTCCAGGCAGAAAGAACAGTAAAAATGCAGGCAGGGCACTGGACAAAGCACTCGGGACAAAATGTATGCTTTTGCTACAGTAATGTTTTAATATGTGATTTTAGTCCATGTCACTTTTTGACATTTTTAAATTTCCCCACCAGTTCCGTCCCCGTACATCCAGACGTCGCAGGGGACAGAACCCAGAAGACAGATGCCGGCATCGGCCGGTGGACATTTCTGGGGACTACGCGAGAGCGCAGGACAAGGTAAGTGCAGAAGGGATCCCGGAGCAATGCTGCAGGGTATTCCCAAGTGTAGCTCGGGGTTACCGCTTGTGGTGCTGAAACTTTACCCCGAGCTACACTCGGGAATACCTCCAGGGAGGTTAACCTACCAGCATGTCTCTGGAATGTGGGAAGGCGGATATATACTTGGTTACCACCATTTTATAAATATGCTCATAATAAAATTGTATGCGGCAAACAGGCGTTTCTTGGAAATTGGGACCATAGAGTAGATTAACCCTTATTTGTACTACATTTTGCCTTTGTCAAGGCCATATAATGTGTTAAAACAGGCCACATATTACCTACCCTGGGATTTGTTGGTGCAACGTGACATGCAAGGAAGACCAGTTTGTAGGAGAGGTCTCTGACACCAAGGGCTTTAAGGCCACGGACGCCTTCTGCTTCATAACCTTCGGCTCCTCCCACTCGTGAGCTTGTTTCAGCTCGGACACCTGTCAGAAAACGGTCAGTCATGAAACCCACAGGCAGATACGAGCATACGATCCCCTAACTTTCCCCAAAGCCAGGTATATATGTGAGCATACCCTAGCAGACGAGGCCTAACGAAGCGAAACCTGCATGGACCATGTAGGTTGCCATCGCTGACCTCTCCTCTTTGAAGTTTCTAAGTTATTATACAGGATTTATATAGCGCCAACAGTTTGCTCAGCGCTTTACAATATAACGGGAGACAATACAGTTCAATACAAGAGGATTAGGAGGGCCTGATCCTGGGAGCTTATAATCTAAGTGATCCCTCTATATAGATCTTTAGTTACCACTAGAGGGATCACCAGCAGGAGGAAGGAGGTCCTGATCCCTCTATATAGTTGCTTGGCGGATCAATCTGATCCAGTCATTTTAGTACTTTGAAATACCGACCCAAACAAGTAAGCTGATCATAGACTGGTGGAAAAGAACAGACAAGGGCGCACTCTCATCGTGCATCACCGTGGTAGAACGCGTATTTATTGAATAAAAAAGGATATATACTCACAAACCAACGTGATTAAAAGCAGTATAAGTGGTCCACAAGGACAGTCACAATACATCTGTGTTTAGTTATGCGGATAAGCTGATGCGTTTCGGAAGCTGAACCCCCTTCCCCTTGCTCTGAGGAAGGGGGTTCAGCTCCCGAAACGTGTCAGCTTATCCGCATCATTAGACACAGATGTATTGTGACTGTCCTTGTGGACCACTTATACTGCTTTTAATCACATTGGTTTGTGAGTATATATCCTTTTTTATTCAATAAATACGTGTTCTACCACGGTAATGCACGATGAGAGTGCGCCCTTGTCTATTCTTTTCCACTAGTGGTCAGATTTCCCGATCTTAGAAGGGCAGCACCTCGTCGGTTGGAATTTTGGCATCTCCTTGGTTGTATGAAGACTGGAGCGCTGGTTTCGTTTATCTTTTGGACTGACCATAGGCTACTTCACTCTCTTCATGCTTACATGATTTTTCTGTCACAAAAACTCAAAAGCACTCAGCAAAAGACAGCAAGGCCTATTGGATTTTCAAAAGGTGAGAAAGGAAGCCTACATCTACTTCGCTGTACAGGTCTCCTTGCTGTTTCCATCTATTTTTCTTGCATTAGATGCTGGTGAACAGCCAGAACACTGGTTTAAAAATCTGTACTTACATAAATTATATTGGTTTAAAACCAATATTTAAAGTGGTTACTGAAATACTAACCTTTTGACAAATACACTGCATTTGTGCCATTTTAGGCGTAAATACTGGTTAATTGTTGGAAACGCTTACTAATCCAGTACTTTTTCAAGGTTTTTGTACATTCAGTAACATGGTCAGCAACACTGGACTAATAGTGTCACAATGATGACACATAGGAGCAGATTTACTAAAACTGGCGCACTCAGAACCTGGTGCCAGCCAGCTTCCATCGCCAGCTTGTTCAATTAAGCTTCGGCAATAAAACCTGGAAGCCGATTGGTTTCTATGCAGAGCTGCACCAGATTTCCCACTCTCCAGTTTTAGTAAATAACCCCCAAAGCGGCTGAATTCTCACATACACATCTTATTCTATCATGCACGATCCTCCCTCAGAGCACTCAAGTATCTGAATAGCTATCACCGTTACCTGGTGTAGCCAACTGAGCAATATCAGGTACGACGATTAGAGATCCAGTGAAATCACATCTGTCGCCAGCCTGACAAGACTCCACAGCCTCAGCACGAAGGATGATTTCCACGCTACGAGGAATACTGCCCCGTGGGAGCTCTGCCTGGGTCTCCTGGATGCGAACCTAGGAAGAAGAACAAAACCACATTGTTACACTAGAAACTAACATCCCTGCTGTGGGTAAGTGCACAAATACTATCATACTGCAACACAAGAATCACAAAAAAAGGCTTTTATACGCTGACTATTGAGTCCCTAAACTTAAAAAACATAAAAGTTGTGATGTGTCCACCCTTCTTTATGATGAATGTGACTTGGACCAAAATTTATAAAAAGTGGAATTAAACTTTTTTTCCTCTTTTTAATGGGCCCCCAGGTGTTTTTTGCTATAATGTACTAGTATGCACCACAGGTAAGCTTATTAATATGTACTTATTAGCACATTATGGCAGACTTACCTGTAAAAGCCCTCCAGGGCTGTGGTGTTAGTGTTTCCGCTGGTCCCAGCTTCTATCTTCTCCCAGGTTTTCCTGCTGGGTTTGCTCTGCTCAGCTACTTTAATAGCTGAAAAAGAAGCAGAGGGGCGCCAAACTAAGTGCAGCATTAAAATGTATTTTATTGTAGATAAAATTAGCAACTCACAGAAGGAAGGTAAAAAAAAAACAGGCATGTCACAGAATGGATCCAGACTCCTGGAACAGCAGGAAGAAAGCGATATAAACGCATATGGTGTAGTACGGGAAGGGTATCCTGGTGCGGCTGGCCGCCGCAGGAAGCCGACGTGGACCACAAGATGGTGCCGGGCCGGATGTGGCATCAGCCAAGGACGTGCCGTAGGTGGCCGGTGAAGCGTTTTGAAGCGGAAGCTTCTTCTTTAGACCTCTGAAGAAGCTTCCGCTTCGAAATGCATCACCGCCCACCTACGTCATCACGCCCCTGGCTGACGGCACGTCCGGTGCCATCTTGCGGTTCACATTGGTTTCCTGCGCTGGCTGGCCACACCAGGCTACCCTTCCCATACTACGCCATATGTGTGGATATCGTTTGCTTGCTTCCTGCCATTCCGGGAGTATGGACCCATTCTGTGACATGCCTGTTTTTACCTTCCTTCTGTGAGTTGCTAATTGTTTATCTACAATAAAATACATTTTAATGGTGCACTTAGTTCTGCGCCCCTCTGCTTCTTTTTCAGCTATTCAAGTAGCTGACCAGAGCAAACCCAGAAGGAAAACCTGGGAGAAGATTAATGCTGCACTTTGTCCGGCACCCCTCTGCTTCTATTTCATACACAGAGTTCAGCTTTGCTCTAAGGGTGCTTCTATACTCCCACTGTGAATACCATGGTCTTTCATTTGGACTTTTATGGACCATTTTCCTCCCATATAGTCATACGCCTCTCCAATGCCAATTATTATTGTTTTGTGTTACTTGAATAGCTGGCCTGCGATGATGTCACTCCTGCACATGCTCACAGGAGTCACTTCCACTTTAGCACAGAGCAGCGCTGTAAATGTACTCTCTGATCTGCATGCTGCGCTCAGTGTACATTACCACTGACAGGAAGGGAGAGAAGCATGAGAGGAAACAGACCACTAGGGTCTCTTCTGTTATAAAAAAAAAAATAAAAAATAATTCTTCCTGTCATCAGGTTTTAAAAATTTAGAGTTCAATTCCACTTTAACCTCCCTAGCGGTCTGATTATGTCCGTATTTCTGTGCTCAAAGCGGTACATTTTATTGCATGGAAATATGTAGTTTTTTTATTGTAGCATGTAATTTTTAGGAATAACTCACTGAAATCTGTCCGAACAAGAGTCTAGTAAACATCCCCGGATTGATTAAAAAACACGAAATCATAAGTTATAATTTAATAATCATAAAAAATAATATAATAAATTTAAATTCAATAATATAATCAAACCAAAAAACACTGAAATTTGAAATAGAGCGCTAAGTTCGCACATCGCTGAGCAAAGTTGCAAAATCGTTTTCAGTGTCTGATGAGGAATTATCACGAATCATTAGCACTCAATTCTGCAAGTGGTTCTGATTTACTATCGCTGTTCTCTAGCTGGTCTAAAACCGATTTTGACCTAAAGGAACGCTTTTTGGACGCCATGGACGTTTCTCAGTTTCCAGGCAGAAAGAACAGTAAAAATGCAGGCAGGGCACAGGACAAAGCACTCGGGACAAAATGTATGTGAAATGGTTTGATACAGTAATGTTTTACTATGCGATTTTAGTGTATTGAGCGAATGTCACTTTTTGTCATTTTCAAATTTCCTGCCAGTTCCGTCCCGACGTCGCAGGGGACGAAACCCAGAAAACAGATGCCGGCATCCGCCGGAGGACATTGCCGGGGACACTGCAGGAGGGACATCGCGGGAGCGCAGGACAAGGTAAGAGAAGAACAGATCCCGGAGCAGCGCCGCATGGTAAGCCCGAGGTCACCGCTTTTGGTACTGAAACTTTACCCCGAGCTACACTCAGGAATACCGCCAGGGAGGTTAATGCAACTCTGCTTATTTGCAGGCAAATTTTGGACTAGTTTTCAATTTTATCCCTGAACAGCCTCTTTGATATCATGACCAGGATGTACTTGGAGTCTTGACAGCTAACAAGTCACAAGTGAAAGCAATCCCCACATTGACATTTGACAGAGGTGGACTTAATCTCAACATGGACAGTAGTTGAGGCACCAACTTGGTAACCAACAGGTCTACATAAACACCACACTTCAAACACTTCCTTAACCGCTGGGGTGGGTACAGATAAGACAGCTATGGTTCCCCTAATAGCTCACAGTAATAAAAAACAATACCGAAACTGTATCCCCCCCCCACTGAGAAGGCAAAGCAAGAAGAACTCTTCCTGGTGGGGACAGCCATAAAAACCAGACAGGTTCTAATCCTTCCCCACTTTATCCAAAAACGTATTTGGATGATGTTAGGCATCAAGTTAGAACTGCTTCTCTTCTGTTTAGTGGTCTACAAAGAAAAATTTTCCATGAGCAAACAAAAGTCTACTCACATGACCCTTCCAGCGGGGAGCATATCTGTACACAGAACTCCACCAATCAGCTGTCTGATTATTGCAACTAAATGGCAATGTTCAATTCAGAGACGGATTGGAAACCCACAAACAGTCCAATTAATTGTAATGGTTTCTGTTTATATTCCAAGGACAGCCTATTGCAGACTTCTCTAGAGATGCCCAAAATTCACCAACCCCAGCCTATGTGTGGGCAGTGAGCTAGAGGAGGTGCCAGTCATTTGATATAAGTGAACCATGTTTGGGAGTGACAAGGCACCCTGTTTTACAGCTAAAACTCCATCACATGTAATGGTTACATGTATCAGAATACAGGGGATACAAAATTCCACAACCCAAGGAGTACATCCCTGCTTATCAATGTACATCCTAAACCGCACACAGGTAGTTTAGAAGTGAAAAAAAAAAAAAAAAAAAAAAAAAAAAACTTCACAAGACACAGTTATAGGCAGATATCCACATTGAAACCTTCATGCAGATACCTATTTGGGTTGAAGCAGTACATTACCTTTTGGAAATCAACAAATCGGGATTTATTGGTGTCCAGCATGAAGCGTCTCCTGTTGGCACACACGGGTTCCGGCAGATACTGGGCTGGGTGTATTTGAACTGCTGCTCCACATCTTTGACTAGAGTCTGGCAGTCCAGACAGAGGAAGGTACCACTGACCAGCTCAGGATGCACAGGATGAGTCCGGACAACCTGACCACTGATTCTCATCAGAGAGCCTATACGAGGAGTGGTCAGCTCCCTGATCCTAAGGAGACGAGAGAACAAAACATGAGTCTTGTGTGGAGCCGCATGGAGGGGTCTTCTAATACTGTTCTCCACTGCAAGTGATCAGGAACTTACTGTATGATAAACTGTACCATAAACAAGAATCTGAGCACAGAAACTAGACAAATACAAGTCATACAGCAGATCTTACTTGTGTCTGGTGGGAAGGTCTTGGAAAGCCACGTAGAATTCTTTGTTTTGTGGCACATTCCCATGGTCTTTGGCATAAGATCGCACTGCTCGGCAGAGGTACGGGTAGACTCTGATTAAGAAACAAGAAGTCAGCAAGTGAAGGGTGCCTTGAATAAATACAGGAAAAGATGGGATCAGACCCTCACCTATAGAACTCCTCCTGGACGGTGGTGGCCAGCTGCTGGTTGAACTGCTCCAGATCCTGGAAACTGACGAGAAGCGTGTTCCTCTCCGGGCGGATTAACTCTTCTGCATCACTTTTATACTTCAACTCTCCATCGGAATTCTGAAACCTGAAAGACACGAAATACCATCAGTGCCATGAATGAGAAATTCTCAATGTGCATCTCCTACATAGAAATGGCAGCTCTCAGCCACTGAGGAACTACAGTTCCCATCATACACCAGAAGTCTTTTCCCTTCAGCAGTGAACACACAATTCCTAGTATGGCATGCCAGTCTGCCATAGCTGATATAGAACTACAACTCTCAGCATGACAAGCCAGTCTCTCATAGCTAGTAAAGAATAACTCCCCCCATTATTCAATGTCAGCCAGTCCTATTACCTTCTATAGGAATACAACTCCCAGCACACAGTGCCTTGAAAAAGTATTCATACCCCTTGATATTTTCTGCATTGTCATGTTACAACCAAAAGCGTAAATGTATTTTTATTAGGATTTTATGTGATAGACCAACAAAGTGGCACATAATTGTGAAGTGGAAGGAAAATGATAAATGGTTTTCCAAATAAATATCTGAAAAGTGAGGCGTGCATTTCTATTCAGCACCCTTTACTCTGATACCCCCAACTAAAAGCTAGAGGAACCAAGAAGTCCTGTTTGCAAGAAGCCATGTGGGGGACACAGCAAACATGTGGAAGAAGGGGCTCTGGTCAGATGAGACCAAAATTGAACTTTTTGGCCAAAAAGCAAAATGCTGTGTGGCGGAACACTGCACATCACCCTGAACACACCATCTCCACCGTGAAACATGGTGGTGACAGCATCATGTGGAGATGCTTTTCTTCAGCAGTGACAGGGAAGCTGGTCAGAGTTGATGGGAAGATGGAGAGCCAAATTCAGGGCAATTGGAGTCTGCAAAAGACTTGAGACCGGGGCGGAGGTTCACCTTCCAGCAGGACAACGACCCGAAACATCCAGCCAGAGCTACAATGGAATGGTTTAGATCAAAGCATATTCATGTGTTAGAATGGCCCAGTCACAGTCCAGACCTAAATCCAATGGAGAATCTGTGGCAAGACTTGAAACTTGCTGTTCACAGACGCTCTCCATCCAATCTGACAGAGCTTGGGCTATACTGCAAAGAAGAATGGGCAGAAATGTCCCTCTCTAGATGTGCAAAGCTGGGAGAGACATCCCCAAAATGACTTGCAGCTGGAATTGCAGAGAAAGGGGGTCCTACAAAGTATTGACTCTCCGGGGGGCTGAATACAAAATACAAACACACTTCAGATATTGGTAAAACCATTTATCATTTTCCTTCCACTTCACAATGATGTGCCACTTTGTGTTGGTTTATCACATAAAATCCCAATAAAATACATTTACGTTTTTGGTTAAATGTGGAAAATTTCAAGGGGTATAAATACTTTGTCAAAGTTCTGTATGTCAACCAGCCCCATCACCCTCTAGGTAACTACAACCTCCAGCAAGCCATGTCAGAACTACAGCTCCCAGCAGGCTATGCCAGTCAACCCCATATGGAACTACAATTGCCAACAAGCCCCATCAGTCCAATTGCCCCAATAGAACCGCAACTCCCAGCATGTCACACCAGCCACCCACCAGCCCCATCTTCTCCAATAGAACTAAAACGCAAAGCCATGTTAGCCAACCCCATTAGTCCTAGAGAACTACAACTCCCAGCATAACATGTCAGTCAACCTTGTCACCCCTAAGAAACTTCAACTCCCAGCATGTCATATCAGCCAAACATAACAAATACAACTTAGCATGCCAAGTCACCAAAACCCCATCGCCCTCTAATAGAACTACAACTCCCAGCATACCATGTCAGTCAGTCCCATCCTTTCCAAGAGAACCACATCAGCCAACACCACTGTCCCCTAAAGAACTACAACTCCCAGCACACTGTCAGCCAACCCATCATCCCCTACAGAAGTTCAACTTCCAGTATTCTATGTCAGTCAACCCCATTACTCCCTATGGATCTACAACTCCTAGCTTGCCTTGTTTTCAGGACTCCTCAGTGGGACTACAACTCCCAGCATGTCACATCAGCCAGTCTCTTTTCATCCACAATAGAACTACAGCTCCCAGCATACCATCCCTCAACGCCACTGCCCATAACAGAACTAAAACTCCCAGCTTGCCACATCAGCCAACTTCATAGCACCTTATAGAACTTTAACACTGCAGCATGGCATATCAAGCAGTCCTATAAGGACTACAACTCCCAGCATGCCGCATCAGCCAACCCCACTGCATCCTATATTACTACAGCTCCCAGCAAGCCACACTACAGCCAGTCCCCCGTCACTCCCTACAGAACTACAGCTCCCAGCAGGCCAGTCCCGTCACTCCCTACGGAACTACAGCTCCCAGCAGGCCAGACCCGTCACTCCCTACGGAACTACAGCTCCCAGCAGGCCAGACCCATCACTCCCTACAGAACTACAGCTCCCAGCAGGCCACATTGGCCAACTTTATCGCCCCTTAAGAGAACTACAACTCCAGCAAGTCATGCCAGCCAGTCCCATCTCTAACAGAACTACAACTCCCAGCATGCCACATTCCTTGAAGTTGCAGTCCCTCCCATGGCTCCTGGAACAGACTGAAAGCACCAATTCCTGGGGGGCCCAGTCTGGGTGAGGAGATATAGGGCCAATCAGCTACGTGACCCCCAATCACACTGCCCGCGAGAATTCTGCCCCCCCCCCGGACACTCACTCCTCTAGGAAGTCCTGGAACAGCTTCTGACACTTGTCAGCCAACTCATCCTTCACATGGGGGGCGGCGGTGGCCGGGGCTCCGGGCTGTTCTACGTCCATCCTGGTCACCGATCACACGCTGCTACCGCTCCACAAGCTCACGGACTTTCGCGCCAAACTAGAATCACGTGAGCCGCTTCGCGCCACTCGCAGCCAATAGGACAAAACGGACGGACCAGATTTTCGCGCCACGGACTATAGAGGGGAGGGGTTTGGGAGGTACAATAGACACGTAGCTGTGGTTCTGGAAGGAGCGCTGTGTACTCAGCGGGGCGCCCCCCTGTTGCTGGGAGGAGAGGAACACATTCATACATACACAACACATAACAGGTGTACCTCGGTTTACGAATTTAATGCGTTCTGCACGACGTTTCGTATTGCAAAACATTCGTAATTGGAAACCTGGTTTCCCATAGGAATGCATTGAAAACCAAGTAATCCGGTCCAGAGGTCAGAAAAAAGTCAAAAAAAGTTTTATCTGTTCAAAAGTGCACTTTAAAGGCATAAATACTGTACAGGGACATGATTAAAAAAAAAATGTCGGAAATGCATTGAAAAACAATCCGTTCGTATTGCAGAAAATAACTCGTAGACCGAGGCATTATCTTCAATGGATTTTCATTTGTAAACTGAAAATTGCATTAACCGAGGTGTTTGTATACCGAGACACACCTGTGTATATAGAGAGAGGAATGCAGAGCCACCTACGCCATCAGGAGACAGCTGTACCACCTAAGATCACCAGTAAGAGCCTGGATTACATACATCCTCCATACTCCCCCCCCATCTGCACCTCCCAGCATCCTCCATACTCCCCCCCCCCCATCTGCACCTCCCAGCATCCTCCATACTCCCCCCTATCTGTCCCAGCATCCTCCATACTCCCCACTACCCTGCACCTCCCAGCATTCCTCCATACCTCACCCCATCACCACCTCCCAGCATCCTCCCATTACTCCCCCCCATCTGCACCTCCCCCAGCATCCTCCATACTCCCACAACTCTGCACCTCCAGCATCCTCCCCCTACCCCCCCATCTGCACCTCCCAGCATCCTCCTCATACCCCCCCCCCATCTGCACCTCCCAGCATCCTCCCATAACCTGCACCCCCATCTGCACCTCCCAGCATCCTCCATACCCCCCCCAATCTTGCCTCCCATCTGCACCTCACAGCATCCTCCCACATACCCACCCCCCCCCATCTGCACCTCCCAGCATCCGCCATACCCCCACACCTCTGCACCTCCCATCATCCTCCCCATACCCCCCCCCTCTGCACCTCCCAGCCTCCATAACCCCCCACACCTCTGCACCTCCCAGCATCTCCATACCCCCCATCCTCCTCTGCACCTCCCCATCAAACCCCCCCCCCACTCTGCTCCCTCAGCATCCTCCATAACCCCCCACACCTCTGCACCTCCCAGCATGTCCTCCATACCCCTGCACCCTCTGCAACTCCCAGCATCCTCCATAACCCCCCCACTGCCCTGCAGCCAGGAATCCTCCATACCCCGACCAACCACACTCTGACCTCCCAGCATCCTCCATTACCCCCCCACCTCTGCACCTCCCAGCATCCTCCATACCCCCTCACCTCTGCACCCCC